AACCAAATTAACATTCAAATCACCATCTCAGAGGGGATGGTACAGTTTGAAAGATCTAAATGGATAAGATGGAATTGATTTTTTTTGGAAGTGTGTTTTCAGGGATGGTGTGTTCATGTGTGTCCCTTTAAGATGTCTGATTCCATGTTCAATGGAGAATGAGGATTGATTTTCGGTTGTTATGATCTGTAAACTCACTTGTTGAGACTTCTGCTTCAATTCCATTTTCTTTCATCTTCTCCATTTTTCTTTCTGGTCCTGGGTCTTGAACTCAGGTCCTGGGTACTGTCCATGAGCTTCTTTTGCTGAAGGCTAGCACTCTATCACTTGAGCCACAACTTCATTTCCAGCTCTTTTACTTTTTTTTGGTGGAAGTTTATTGGTGACAAGAGTCTCATGGACTTTCCTACCGATGTGATCCTCACATCTCGGCCTCCTGAGTAGCTAGGATTATAGATATGAGTTACTTGTTCATGGCTTCTCCATGTTTGACCTCTTGAACAGCTTAGTCTGATGGAACTATTAAGTTTCAGAATTCTATTTGATTTTCTACTGAACTTTACTAGTAGTATCTCCTTGTAGAGAGTTGAGAACCAGGGGACCTGAGTGGAGCCTCTACTTTTAACTAATTAGCTATAGATCTTTAAAGAAATCTTTTTACTTCTGTTTATCTGTCTCCTGTATAAGATGACCTATTTGATGAAAGGGTCTGTGTTTAGGTGCATGTCTCCTTCTCTTTCATGCTGACATGTCTGTAAGATTGTCATGAAAGAGCAGAATGTATCAGTCTTATTTTCTGTAAGCTATAAAATCGTTAAAAGGATCAAAAGAAGAAATAAGGAAAAATGGGAAATAGCTATTAGTGTTTTATTTTTCTTTGTTGGTCATGGGGCTTGAACTCTGGGCCTGGGTGCTGTCCCTCAGCTCTTCAGCTCAAGGCGAATGTTCTACCACTTGAGCCACAGAGCCACTTTGGGTTTTCTGGTGGTTTATTGGAGATAAGAGTCTCACGGACTTTTCCTGCCCCAGTTGGTTTTGAACTGCGATTCTCAGATCTCAGCCTCCTGAGTAGCTAGTAGTAGGTGTGAGCAATTAGTGCCTAACTAGTGGGGTTTTGTTTGTGTTTTTGTTTTTTTTAAGCAAACATTCTTAAAATTCTAGGCCCAACATTATTTTTTTCTGAACATAGCTCTGTAAGACTTAGAAAATGTAATGGGTGGATAACTTTATAAAGCATGACACGTAGTGATCTGGAAAGCATTGGATGTCAGAGCAGATAAGTCTGAATTTATATACTGGTCATGCTATGTATCATCATAGTGCTACCTTCCTTCCTTCCTTTCCTTCCTTCCTTCCTTCCTTCTTTGCTTCCCTTCCTTCCTCCTCCTTTTTCTTTCTTTCCTTAACAAAATCAGGATACAATGTATTAACATTCCATAATTACAATGAAGACAAACAAGCAAATTTATAAAAGTCATTTAGCTTGATGGCTGGCACATGGTAGTGGTTTAATTAAAATTAATTTGACTCCAAACTCTTTGTTCAATCTTCTAGAATCAAAACAGAATATTTGCAAGTGTTCTGTTTTCTTTGTGAAAAATTTTAATCTCTGGTGCTACAGCTGCTTTTCACTGAGCTGGACATAAAATTGGATGCCCCTTAGCATATTGTCCAGTGTTTTGTGTTTCCACATGGAGAAAAATAAACGTTTATTTGTGCTATTCTGTGGCCTTTTGCTTATAAAACTTAGAAACCCTCACACACCTTCTCTAGTCTTTACACATCTGCAAATTTGATGAGAATCAGCTTACCTTTTGTTGTTGTTGTTGGTTGTGGGGCTTGAACTCTGGGCCTGGGCATTGTCCCTCAGCTCTTCAGCTCAAGGCGAGTACTCTACCACTTGAGCCACAGCGCCACTTCTGGTTGTCTGGTGGTTTATTGGAGATCAGAGTCTCACGGACTTTCCTGCCTGGGCTGGCTTTGAACCACGATCCTCATGTCTCAGCCCTCTGTGTAGCTGGGATTACAGGCTTGAGCCATGGGTTCCTGGCCCAACTTTTCCTTTTTACCAGTCAGGATTTTAAGAAGTCAAGTCATTGTCTGGACCTAGCTGCTAAGAAGTTTCTTCTTTTCATTCTTGTTGTTTTCCAAGTCTACTATCATTTTACATTTGTTAAAAAAGTCTTTGGCCCATTTCAAGTTAATTTTGCAGAAGATAGAAAATTTAGCTTGAGGTTTACTTATTTCTTTGGCTTATCGATGTTCAATTATTCCAGCACTGTTTGAAGAGATTGTCCTTTCTCCACTGAATTGCGTCTGCGTTTTTATCAAAAATCAATTGTGTATATTCGTGTGAGTCTATTTCTGGATTTTCCATCCAGTTGCATTGATCTATTTGTTTAGATATTCACCATAGCCACACTGAAATGCTATAACATATAATAAATCTTAAAATCAGATAGACTCATTTTTTCAACTTTTTCTTTGTTGAGAGATTGTACCTTTCCTTGTGAACTTTAACAGAAGCTTGTTTGTGTCTATAAAGTCCTTATTTGGGTTTTGATAGGGATTATATTGAATTTGTGGATCATTTTTGGAAAGAATAGTGTCTTTTTGTTGAACAGTTACTACATGTAGGATGAGCTCTTTGTGCACATACGTGTTGATTTACTTAATCAGAATTATATAATTGTCTGCATACCCCTACTCTTTGTATATTTTTTGCGCTAATAATTGATTCTGAATGCTTGTAAGTGATATTTTAAAAAATAGAGCTTAGTTATAATTCCATATGTCAGGTTATGCGTGTAATGCATCTTCATCAGTCACTCCTTCCATTGTTCCATTATTCCATGGTTCTCCCAAGTTCTTCCTGTCTTCCCATCCTCTACTCTCAGGTTGCATAGTTCAATTTTAGTTTTTGTCTTTTTTTAAATTGTGCCAGTCCTGGAGCCTGAACTCAGAGCCTGGATGTTATCCCTGAGCTGCTTTTGCTCAAGGCTAGGGCTCTACCACTTGAGCCACAGCTCCACTTCTGTCTTTTGGTAGTTAATTGGAGATATGAGTGTCACAGATTTTTTTATCTGCTCAGGCTAGGCTTCAAACATCAATTCTCATATCTCAGTCTTCTTAGTGGACAGGAAAGTCTGTGAGACTCTTATCTTCCAATGAACCACCCAAAAGCCAGAAGTGGAGCTGGGGCTCACGTAGTAGAATGCCAGCCTTGAACACAAAAGCTCAGGAACAGCGCCCAGGCCCTAAATCCAGGCCCGAAGTTCAAGCCCTAGGACTGATCCCTCCCTACCCCTCCTCCCCCCCATACAAACCCAACTTTGTGACTACCTGAGAGGAAATGAAGTGTGTGGTGTTTGCTGAGTTATTTGAAGCAGTCTTTCATTCACCAAAGCACATCACTGGCCCTGAACTTCCTGGAGTCTGGGCCTCCAGCTGCCTGTCCATGGTGAGTCCTGAAAGATGGACAATCACTAATGCTAGTCCTGATTCCATTTTGTGGTTTCAGGCCAAAGCTTTTTATCTTGGGGGGGGGAGAGGAAGAGAGGGAGGAGGAGGGAGAGGGAGGTAAAGGGAGAGAGCACCGACATTGCTTAGATGCTCAGCATCAGCACACACCCAGGACCAACCACTAAAGGCTTATGATTTGTGTAGGATGTTTGGAGCAGTTGAGCATCTCCAGAAGGTCTGAGTTTCTCAGTCTCGTGGAATTTGGTCTTCTATTCAGCTGTTATTAAACCAGTTTTTTTTAATTGTTATTATAAAGATTATCGTACCTGGCAGGGAAAGTGGCTCAGTGGTAAGAGTGCTTGCCTCGAGTGCATGAAGCCCTGGGTTGGATTTCTCAGCAACCCATAAGGAGAAAAATCCAGAAGTGGTGCTGTGGCTCAAGTGGTAGGGTGCTAGCCTTGAACTCAATAGCTGAAGGACAGCGGCCAGGCCCAGAATTCAGGCCCCATGACTGACGAGAAAAACCCCCAAACCAAAACACAAACAAAGATGATTGTACTGAAGTGTTCCAGTTACATAACACAGGTAGAGTACACTTCTTTTAGGACATTGTCACCCCTACCCTTACTCTCTCCCAGGCTTTTCCTTCCTTCCCCTCCACAAGTTGCATAGTTCATTTTCAACCTAGTTTCTAGTAGTTCCACTGCTTGTGGTGTTGTTGTTGCTTCCTGGGTCAGTTGTGGGGCTTGAACTCAGGGCCTGGGCACTGTTCCTGAGCTCTTTTTCCTCAAGTCATACGCTCTACCACTTTGAGCCACAGCACCACTTCCTGTTTTCTGGTGGTTTGTTGGAGATAAGAGTCTCATGGACTTTCCCGGCCAGGCTGGCTTTGAACTGCGATCCTCAGATCTCAGCCTTCTGAGTAGTTAGAATTACAGGCATAAACCATCAGCACCCAGCTTCTTCTTGTTTTCTGAGACAGGGTCTTCCCTGTGCGGCCCAGGCTGGTCTCAAACTCTCCATCCACTTACCTCAGCCGCTGTAAACCGTTTGTACCTCTCCTTTATAATAACAATAACCTTTTTTTAAAATATCTGGCTAAGAAGAGTCTAGATGAGAAAGACATAATTTGGAATGTCCCCCGGCATACAAGAGAGAATATAAACATTATATTACTGAGGCTTTTTGCTTCAGGCCTCTCCATCTTAGAAAATTGGTATGAAACTCAAAGTGATCCACTTTGCCTTGGATTGCTTATTGAGCTGGAGGTCTTTTTTTTTTTTTTTTTAACTTTTTAAAAGCATTTAATTTATTGAAACACTCTTGTTTACATAGTTCTGCTTGTATTGTTTTGCTCTGTACTGACACATAAATAAAGTTTTCTACATTATTTTCAGGCAGGGGTTGTGGTAAGATTTTCTTTTGTGTTTGTAGTCATCTTATCATTTAGAGTTTGTCTCCTCACCATGGAAAAGAGATTTTGGGTATTGTCAGTGGTTATTTTAAGAGGGAACACATTTAGGAGCTACTAGGCCTAGAACAGGGTATAAATAAGGCCCATTTACTTTAGGTTCAAGGAGCTTGTTTCTCAGGTTCACAAAACGAGTCCTCCACCACTGAACTCCATTCTCTCCAGAGGTTTGACGAAGGCTAACCAATCTGATGCATGTGTAGGTAACAGACCCATGGACTTGTAAACAGCCAGTGCCAAGCCCATCAGGTTCCCAATGAGATAAACCAGACCCTGAAGAAACTTCTGACTTGAACTCTCTAGCATCTTGAAAGTGGCTGAAATGGCCATGAGGGCCTGGACCGGCCGCCAGGCCATCACGCACACCATCATGGTAGGGAAGATGGAGATGGTGTTGCCGGCCATGTACATGATGAAGAGGTTCATGGGGATCTCTTTGAGGGGGCCCAGGGCGATGTCCCAGGAGCGCTTCTCCACCAGGATCCGGACCGTCTCCTGCACGCTGATGTCTGGCACCTGCTTGTCCAAGTACCCGACCGGGTACAGTGAGTCTCCCTGGCCACTGCCCCGGTCACTTCGGCCCCTGCTGACTCTGCTGGGCCCGCTCAACTCAATGGCCCACTTGAATCTCCGGCCTTGGCTGGTGACCAGGCCGCCCGGAGCTGTCATCATGGGCTGCTGAGCTGGAGGTCTTGATACATCTTTTTTGTTGTTGTTCACACTGGCCTTTGAATCATGATCCTCTCATCTCTGCCTCCTGAGGAGCTGGGGTTATAGAAGTGAGCCACCAGACTTTTAAAATACGGTTGGAGTTTAGCATGTGGCTGAGGTGCTTTTCTCGTTCTCCAGAGACACCTGTGCACAGAGGGATGCACGCGATGTATCTTTCTTCTCTTCCAACTTCTTTTTGTCTTCTCCTAGCCACCTTTCCTTCCCAAATCTGTCTCTTCCAACCCTCTTAAGCGCCCAGCCACCATCTCTGTCTGATGGCTGAGTTTGTTCCTCTACCATTCCTCTTCACTTTCTTGTTGACAAAGTGCACACACTGATCACTCAGAGACTTCCCATGCTTTTCCCACCCCTGTGGCCAGCAGTGGGCTTCCCAACCGGACAGAAAGGATTCAAGTCTCCAAGCACACATTTGTATGACATGGGCTTCTGTTTGGTTCCGGTCTCTAAGGTGATAGAATTGAGCTGGATAATCCCTAGCAATCTTTCCAAGCTAACATTCTGTGCATACTTAAGAAGATGTATTTATATTCAGTAGTAAGGTTCCCAGCCTTTCTACCTCTTCTTATCAGCTGGAGGAGGAAATCTTTTTATCACAGTTTTGATGAACCAGCTGACTTCCTTATGTTGTAGCTTTGGATCTTTTTATTTTTTGTTAGCCTGGGTCTCAAGCTTTTTCTGCTTAGCTGTGAGAACATGTTTTTCTATTCAGCCTCCTGCTCAGGGGACATTTGGACATGTGTGTGGCTATATTGAGCTGGTTTTTATTCCCAAAGGCATCATAAGAATCAAAATGGGCAAAAATGCCCTCAATCGGCCAGGTGATGGTGGCTTACTCCTGTTACCCTAGCTATTCAGGAGGCTGAGATCTGAGGATCATGATTTGAAGCCAGCCACGTCAGAAGACTTATCTCCAGTGAACCACCACAAAAACTGGAAGTTCAAAGTTGGTAGATTATTCTAAGCCTTGAGCACAAAAGCTCAGGGAAAGACCCCAGGCCCTGAGTTCAAGCCCCATAATTGACATCCTCCCTCCCCCCCCCCCCAAAAAACCCCTCCAAACCAAAAACAGTGCCCTGATAGACAATTCCTTGTTGGAGTGATAGCAAGCATCTCAATGTTGGAGGGGGCTTCGCTGCTTCTCCTTACCAGATGCCAGCGGACTCATGCCTGCCCCAATGATTACAACTAAAATGGAAAAACCATTGGTTTAGAATCATTTCTATGCAAATTTCAAGCATTGTCAGTTACATAATTACTCAGAGAGGAAAAGGAGGAAAAGTCTTAAAAGTGGGATTCAGGGGAGGAGCTAGAGATGATGGACAGTCAAGGAGCAGAAGATAATTTGACATGGAGCCAGAGCAGACATAGCAGCACCCCTGGGCTGTTGTATTTCCATGGGAACAACCTAGACCCTGAAGAAAAATGGAGAGGATTCCCAACACGAGAGAAAAGGGTTGTAGGGCTTGCCAGTTCCTGGTTGTAGGTAGGGGCAGGTGGGAAAATCTCTAAGGGATGTGAAGGACATAATTTGTTGAGCTAGGTGAGAGAACCTCATCTTATACTGTTGGAATGCTATACTGACCTATGTAGGATTTAGGATTCCTCTCTCTATATCTCTCCCTCCCTCCCTCCCTCCTTCTCTCCCTCCCTCCCTCCTTCTCTCCTTCTCTCTCCCTCCCTCCCCTCCCCTCCCTCTCTCTCTCTGCCTATACTGAGGCTTGAACTCAGGGCTTTGCACTCTAGGTTGGCTTTTCTGTTCTGCTCAAGGATGATGCTCTTCATACTTGGGTCACCGCTCCATGTTATGACTTTGTTGGTTAATTAGAGATCAGAATCTCAGGGATTCATCTACCTGGGCTGGCTTCAAACTGTGATCCTCAGTCTCCTGAGTAGCTAGGCTTACAAGCGTGAGCCACTGGCAACTGGCTTCTATGTAGGAGTTTTCTTTTAATTTTGTTTTGGTTCTTTACTTCCTTTTCTCTTTGATTCCTGAGTAACGTAGCACCTGGTCATTGTTATGAAGTCCCACAGGATTCCACTGTTACTTATGCACACGGTCCCATCTAGGCAGACAGAAGTCCCACCATTCCCATCTCATCTTCCAGGTATTTGCTAAGGATAACCCTCTGGGAATGAATCTTTCCTGGTCTCCCAAGGTCTTGCTCTTGCCCACCCTTCTAAACATCCATTTCACATTGAAGAACTTAATACCCATCCTGACATGCTTAGTTCCTATCCAGCTAGCTTTCCTTCTGACCTGCTACACAATGAGCACCTCAAATGGTAGGACCACAGTGTATGCCCAAACAGTAGAAGCCACTCTGCTTTAAACTTGGAGACCGAAGAAGCCATGGTGGAATTTTACAAAGCATGACTGTGAGGTTGCAGGAGAGCAAGTGAAGAGCCTGAATATGTCAGAAATATTGATCTTTCCAGGCAGCACATGATAAAAAAGAGAAGCTATGTATAGTTACAGAAATTAGGATTAAGTGGAAGCTGAGAGGTCATCTGTCCTTCCTTCCCCCAACTTACTGTTTTGATGTAAGTTAAAAAAAAGGATCCACAGAAAGGTCAGAGGTGTGCTTCTGTTCTTAGAGTGTGTCAGAAGTAGACCATGCTTGACATTAGGTTTTGTTACAACCTGGATCCAGAATACCTCCCCTCCCCAGGGTCACAGTGCTCAGCATTGACAGGTGATTGAACAACTAGGGATTTCAGGAAGGACTATCTATTAATGGATTCCTGGCTTAATGGGTTGTTGGAGGTGTTGGAAACTTTTGAGATAGGCCTTGGAGGATGTTGGTTTCCTTCTCTCTCTCTCTCTCTCTCTCTGCTTCCTGGCTGCCATGAGATAAACAGTTCTCCTACCACGCTTCTGCCATGATGCTCTGCTTTTCAACAACCTAGAGATATCAAAGCTAAGGAACCATAAATTGAGACTCCTTCAGCCATGAGCAAAAGAAACCTTTCCTCTTCTACATTGATTATGTCAGGTAGTTCGTCCAAGTGAGAGAAAGCTGCATGACAAACACAGGCTTTGGTTTGACATCCGGTGTCTTGCCATTTTGTCCAGGGTGTGGCCACAAAGGTCTGTGGATCACAGCAGAACATCTGGAGTCCTGGAAATGAACTCAGGGCTGGGGACGAACTCTCCTCCTCTGTAACAGGAAATCACCATAGTCCTACTCCACAAGTAGTTTTGCAGTTTGCAGTTCTGTGGTTCATGTTGAGTCCTTTTCTTTTTTTGTCTAAGGTGTGAGATAGGTTCAGATCTTCATTTACTACTTTTTTGCTACACGGATGTCCAATATGGAAATAGAGTAGACAGCTTTTCTCTATGTTTTTAAATTAGAAGATAAACAATGCAATGCTGGTTACAGGGGATGCTATTCTGCTGGCCTATACGATGCTCAGTGTTATTTTAGGTGTGTTAATGATTCTTGCTATCATGATCACAATAACTATAATTATTATACATCTACATGGCCAATGTCTTTCTATGAAACAAAGGGTTTAACAGATACTCTAGTAGGTAAAGAATTGACATATCATTGTCTTATGTCTTCAGGCAACTCAGGCTAATTAACAAGGGTAATTACAGAGGGGCACACATTTATAACGTTGATCACCCAGGTGCATTATCTCTTTGTCAATCTGATGAGGAGTTAATTTCTTGGGCCTGGGGAGGGGAGGAAACTAAGTCAATTTCTCCCAATTTCATAGCTCACTTCAGATCCTAAGGACAAAACAATCAGGCTTAATTGAGCCAGAATTGTCTGTAGGGATTTTTTTTTTTAGAAAGTGTCTTCTCCACAATTTTGCTAGTGGACCAAGTACTCAGAGGCAAAGACACTGTCTATCCATTTTTTTCCTTCCTCTACCTCTTTGGCCATGTGTTGTCTTATTTCTTTGAACATCCCTTAACAGAACTTACTTACTTGAAAGCTTCAGGCCTACCTCATATCAATTTCTTTCCCATGGGTGGAAGAGTATCAAGAATAAAGGAATACATTTGTGGTTCTTCTTTCTCAGAAGGCAAAGCACATGACTAATGGTTTTATTCATCCCCAACACAACTGTGTCTCTGAATAAAAAAAATGTGGTGTCAGCCCTTCAGGGTTCACTCTTCTCCCAGGATTAGTAGTTCCTTTACTGGATAGTGACTTTTTCTGTTGCAGAATCATATTACCGTGCAAATAGGGTGGATGGATGCTCCCGGTTGCCTTGGTTAATTGACAATGACATGTATACATCACCAGTTTTTACGTGCCAGCTCTTCCGCAAGGCTTTAGACATAAGAGTATCTTCAAAACAAATGTTATCCTGGTCTAGACAGGGTTTACACATTAGTGGAAGAAGTGAGAATAATGGAACACAGAAATGTAAACTATAAACTATCTCAAAGTGCTGGGAAGTTGTGTGGCAAATCCACTCTTGCTTGAATGAATGCCTACACCTTCTATACTTTACTGTGGATCTGGAATGTTCCATAAAGGCCCATGTGTCAAATCAGCTTGGTGAAAACTTTCAGCAGTGCGGGGTTATTGAGAGGGCTCTCAGTCATTGTGGCATGGCCTCAATGGGGATTGCTAGACACAAGTGCCATCCATCTCTCATATCTGGCTGTGAGGTGAATGGGCTTAGTCTACCACATGTTCCTGTCATCATGAACCATGCATCACAGGCCCAATGCAATGAGACCAATCATTTAGGCACTGAACCCTTCAGATCTGTGAGTAAAATTGAACCTTTTCCCTCTGTAAGTCAATTATTTCACATACTTTGCTACAGTAAAGGAAAAATGAGCCAGGCACCAGTGGCTCATGCCTGTGATCCTAGCTACCCAGGGGGCTGAGATCTGAGGATCATGGTTCAAAGCCATCCCAGGCAGGAAAGTCCGTGAGACTCTTATCTCCGGTGAACCACCAGAAAGCCAG